ATCAAAAGATGTCACTTGTACTAATACAAATCAGAGCTGCTTCAGAGGAGATGCACGTAAGGAAACTTTTTTTCCTCTATTGTGAAGATATTCAGACAGAGAAAGCTCAAAACTGAGGAAACACATGAGAAAAAACAGAAATACTTTCAGTCTTTGTTCGCATGACAAAGGTTGATTGAACAAAATCAAATATTTCAGGTGAAATTATTACATTAAAAATTTAGGGTTGCCTGTCAAATACTAAAGCTCAGTACAAAACAGAGATACATCTTTGTTTTTGTTTTTTTACATGGAGCTGCTGCACAGCCAAACAAAAAAAAAAAAAACCTTTAGCCAAAGAAAATTTTAGTCAGATCAGAAAACTTGACGTCGTATGGAAGCTTGTTTCCACCACTGAGTAAACTGAATAACTTATTGCTATCAAAAAGGCACAAAATTGGAGTAATTACCTTTAAATTTTAACAAAATTACTTGAAATTTTGAGATAATGAGCCGAAATTCTGGCTTAAGTGTGGCATGAAATGTTTTTTGTTTTTTCTGTGGTGGAAACAAACGTCCATACCAGGAACTATTTGAAAATATTTTCACAGTTACCATTTCAACAGGCAGCTGTCATAGTCACTTGCCAATAATTATTTAAATGCCTCCAAGCAATTTATGCATTCCTTTTGTTCACACCCAGAGTTCATACCGCCTGAAAGGAACTGGAAGATTGGCAGTTTCCATCCCCTGGCTCCTTTAATCACAATGTATACTTGGGCTAAACACTTAACTTCAAGTTGTCCCCGATGTATCCATCGGAATTTGAGTGTGTAAATGTTTGATGTGCTTAGATACAACTTTGGTAAGACTTAAAACTAAAGGTACCTTGATGATAACATAACAAACCTTAACTAAAAATAACACAAGAATTTAACATATTCATATATAACCTAAGAAATAAAAAAATACAATATAAAATCCCGGGTCACTGATTCAGAATCATCAAAATGCTACCATGGGGCAGCCTGAACCTTTGAAACAGTCTACATTAATTAAACAAACTAGGTTCCTTTTAAAGTTATAAGGTTTGCAGGCTGTGGAAGACAGAAGGTTCAGCTGATAATCAGCCGGTATTAACTGAAAGTTTTGCACTTTTATTTTAAAAAACGGTTTCCCAGAAGGTTTGTGAAACAGAACAGCAGGTGCTGTTTTAGAGAGCAGATAAAACTGCGCTGCATATTTACTTATCATCTGCTTCCGGTCCTTACAGTGTTCAGCGCTGCTGGGGGTCTGAAGCTGCACACCCGCGGCTGCCTGGAGTCGGATCTGTGCGGGGCGTCGCTGAACGGCTCCATCCTCAGTGTGGCCTACAGCACCTCTTTCCAGTGTTGTAACACAGACGTGTGTAACGGAGCCACTTCCATCCAGCTCCCACTCACTGTGGCTCTCTTTGCTGCTCTCCTGGCCTCCCTGTGGAGCTGCTTGAATCCATAGTTAATCAGTATATTATCTCCTGTGATTTATCCTGTTTGCTTTGAAATCAAACAATAATTGAAATGAAATTTAATAAATAAATAACATCAGTGTGGCTTCTTTCTCTGGTCTTCTGATTAAAATTTGCATACTTATAATAGAATTTAAGGAGCCTGGATTATTCAGTATATAAAAATGCCTACAGACAATACTAATTAGATCTTAAACTTTACATTGAGTTCGCTATAAGATGGGGTTTTTAGGTGAAATCTTTACTAAATAAAATAATGTGCTAAAAAACAGCAGGAACATTTCCAAATATTGAAAATATTTGAATTTTTTAATCTAAAAAGAGATCTTGTACAACTTCAGCGACAACTCCATATTAATGGTCTTTAAAAAAAATACATTTACAGCTGTTAAGTATGACAATCTAACTCCAGGTTGTTTTTTTTTAATTTTCTTTGTTTGTTTGTTTTCTGGTGCCTGTTAAATCTGTTAATTTATAATAGGGAAACATCACTACATCCAGTCTTGCGAAGTGTGGTGGGGAAAAAAATCCAGTGCCAAATTTCTTGACCTTTTATCTATGTCGTCTGTTTAACCTATAAAAATCATGAATAATGGTGGTTAGTACAATGCCATCATAGGAAATCATAACTTCACTGTGGGATACTGTTTGTCCGTGATTTGAACAGCCCAGCGCGTGCTCCCACACAGGGAAAACCAATTCTGCAGGGGAGACCTACCTTGGCACTTGTGCAGGTGAA